GCAGAGGGATAAATTGTCCCGGATCACAGAGAGAGAATGTCTCGGCAGGTCCCAGGTCATGTGACCACTTTACAATTCTATAGATATCTGAATTTTTGCAGGGAATGTGGTCGTAAACCACTTTCGATCTCCATTCCTGATAGGAATTGGAAAGCAGCTGTTTGTCGTACAGTCAGACGCTGGGTACGCTATTCTAGAAAAGCCTAGAATTATGACTACTGTAGCAATGGGGCTTCTATAAAACAGAGGTATGAGGACCTCCACATTCTATAAGCTTCTGAGGGAATCACTTTCCTCTGCAATCCTGCTTGAAACGTGGTGTTGCTTCTGATTTACCGGCTGGACCAGTGAGAGAATTTTAGAAACTTCTATTTGGTCCCTGGTGTGGTTTATCTCTAGATATCCCTCCAAAGCCTCATGTGCTCATAGGTGGGGGTTTAGGGAGGTGATTGGATGATGTGGGCAGGATTTTATCCATGATTCATCCATTGATGGTTTATAGCCAGATGTGGTGTTGGGAGGTGAAGCCTGGTTGGAGGAGGTGGGTCCCTGGGGGTGTGGTCTGGAAGAGCATATATGTCCCTCCTTCTCCCTTGATCCCTCCTGCTTCGTGCTACCGTGCCTGGAGCTCTTTCTCCTCTGCCACACCACCCTGGCGTGGAGCTTGCTGACTGTGAACTGAAATCTCTACAAGCTGTGAGCCGTGTCACTGGCTGTCAGCCTTCTGTGCCAAGACTGAAGGACCCGTTTGGCAGTGTGTAAAGACCAGCTGCAGATGTCTTTGCCAGGATGTTAATCCTGGCTCAGAGAGAGGCTGCCACCATGAGCCCTCCCTTACGTACCCTATAGCCCTCATCTCCCCTACCCCCCACCCCACACTCCTGGGTTCCCCTGTTCCAGCCAGACCAATAGCTTTTTTGGTGAATGAATTATTTCCTCCAATAGCAGGGACTATACTTCCCAACTTGGGCAGTACTAAGTCCTGACCCTAAGTACTGGTCTAGAGCTGGGGTGGGCAAACCACAGTTCCCTGGACCAGCCACTTGTTTTTGTGTGCATGGTTTGGGAAACATAGATAGCTGGTTATCTATTGTCTATCACTGGTTTTGTTGGTTTTTTTTTTTTTTTTTGTCTTCTTAAGACAGGGTCTCATTATGCAGTTCAGGCTGGCCTCAAACTCACTTTGTGGTCTCGAACTCAGAACGATCCTCCTGCCTCAGCTTCCCAAGTGCTGGGATTACATGCGTGAGCCACCACGTCCGGCCTATCACTGGTTTTGAAAGGGAAGTTAAATTTTTAAATAAAGCCTGCCAAGAATGCCTGCCAAAGGGGACATTTCTTCCTAAGTTTAACCCATGCTTGTTTAACTGATGGCCTTGCAATGTAACTCAAGATGCTTAAACTCCCTTAAGCAACCCATAATGTCATCCAACCGTCCAATCACAATGCACCAAATCTGCCTTTGTACCTTCCCGGTTTGCTCTCCCTATAAAAGCCCCCAAACCCTGCCAGGCAGGGCTCTGACTCTTTGGGAGAGATCCCAGTCAGGTCCACCAGTGTAATAAACTGCCTCCTAAACCTTGTTGGTGCCATTTCTTCCTGTGTTAGGTCTGTCTTCCATAATAATTTTGCACTCTTTCTTTTTTCACTATTGTTTTTTGAGACAAGGTCTCATTATGTAGCCCAGATAGGCCTCAAACTCCTGCCTGAACTCCTGGCCAGGCTCCTGCCTCAGCCTCTAGAGTGCTGGGATTGCAGGCATGGGCCAGCATGCACAGATCCGGAGGAAGGTGAGCATGACCTTGAGAAGCCTCCAGGCAGGGTGGGCCTTTGTGCGGTTCAGGCGGTGGGACACCCTCACCCTCGGCAGGCTGGGAGGATGAGGGAAGCTGGGGGGCCGGGTTCTCAGCTCTCTCCACCCCAGTGTCTCCATTCGGGTCTTAGCACTCAGCTCTTTCCCTGTGGAGGTCCTGATGCTGGTACAGGCAGCCCGCTGGGCTCCAAAAAACGTTCACAATCAGATGCTGAGCCTGATCCTGAGCGTATCCTGCCCCCCGGGCCTCCGAGAGATGAGGATCTCTCGGAATGCTGCTCTGGAATTCTTGTCTCGAGTCAAGCGTGACCTCTTTCTTGAAGGCTTCTAACAGTCCACTGAAGTCAGCGGACCCGATGCCCTACGGTGGCCGTCACCCTCATCCGCCAGCGTTGCACCCACCCGCGAAGCCAGTGCTGCCCCTGAGCCTGGCCCAGGCCTCACCTCGGTCCTCCCTGCAGGGGTGCTGGATACTGGGATGCTGTGCCCGCCAGGGTCCTGGCCACCTCTTCTCTGCCAGCATCACGTCCTGAGGAGGAATCTGTGCTAGAAGATGCTTCCTGCCCTTTCTAGTAGCCATTATCTTTTTTTTTTTTTTTGTCTTTTCGAGACAGGGTCTCGCGATGCAGTTCAGGCTGGCCTTGAGCTCACTTTGTAGCCCAGGCTGGTCTCAAACTCACAACAATCCTCCTGCCTCAGCCTCCCGAGTGCTGGGATTACAGGCGTGCGCCACCATGCCTGGCTTTCCATTGTCTTAAGTTTTATTTTCCCTCCCAAAAAATCAGAGGGAGTCAAGCGCGCGTGCGCAGTGGCTGCTCCGGGCTTGGAGAGCGCGGGGACCCCGGGGCGCAGTCTGGGCTGCTCCTCGCACGCTGGGAAATCCCCGGATGCAGAGGGCGGGAAGGCGGAAGTTGCCAGCCTGCTGGAACCGTCTCCCAAAGCTTCCGGTGACACAGACACAGCCTGGGGACGTGGGCGAGGCGGCAGCTGCTGTAAGCAGCTGTCACCTGCCGGGTGCCGGTCCTGGCAGAAGTGGGGGCTCCCAGGAAGGCCTCAGTCTTTGCCGCTTTGGGTCACGGCTGTATCTCAGCATCTGGACCATGCCCGGGGTTGAATGAATGGGGTTTCCACTCGCTGAGTTTCCCTCCTGAGCTGAGCCCTTGTCTCCCAAACCCACCCCGGGCCCCACCCCGCCTGGCCCAGCGCGGCCCCCGGTCCTGGGCCACCCGTGCCCCTGCTGGGTATTGGCCGGGTGGACATCGGCGGCGTCTACCTCAGTCCCCTACCAGCCACGCGGACTGTCCTTCGCCTGACCTTGTCCCAGTGCCCTAGATAGTGTGTGTCGTTGAATCCTTACAGCCAACCTGCCCCGCGGGCGCCTGGTCCCCGCACAGGTGAAGAAAGGGAGGCCCAAGCCAGCGCGAGGGTTGGCCCACAGGACGAGGGCAAGCGGAAAGCAGAAGTGCGGCCCAAGGGGCAGAGCTGGGAGGAGCGGGAGCCGCCCCGCCTGTGCCACCCCGGGGTCTCTGATGTAACCCCGGTTTCCTCAATCTCCCGGAAGCACCCCACAAATGCATCCCCCCTGCCATCTGGAGCTCCTGCTGGAGAGCTGGGAGCTGGGAGCTGGGAGCTGGCACCAGGGACCCCCGGGGTCTCCTGTCCTGCGCCCTAGCTCTCACCTTGGCACCCCAGAACGGAGCAGCTTGCTGCTGGGTTTAGCAGACTGAACCCAAGCGTTAGCCTTCATGCCAAGCTACAGGCCCAGCCATTTTTTATTTTCAGATGGGACCTTACTAAGCGGCCTGGGCTGAGCTCGAACTTCAACCCTCCTGCCTCAGCCTCCCAGAGTGCTGGGATTACCTGGTATGTATCACCACACCTGAGTATAAAATTTCATTTCTGAGTTTAGTGTATTTAAGTCCAACCACACCGTATTTTAAAATTAGCCCCGCTGTTTCCCAAAGCCCCAGATCTAACCTGCTTCATCGAACTTGGTGTGGGTGGCCGGTGTGGGCAGGTTTCTCCCCTGCGGGCTGGTGCTGGTACAGGCGAGAGCAGGCTGGGCCTTACCAGGTTTGTTTATTGGCCCCAGTTGCCGGCGAACTCTGCGGGCTCTGCCTTCTAAACGTCTCCGGCATCGAATCACCTCTCCTCACCTCCGCTGCTGCCTGCTCAGGTGTTGCGTCTGATCTGAGCCTTGCTGCTTTACGCTTCTGCCTTTGACCAGCGCAGTCTCTGCAGAGTGAAAGCAGCCAGCAGGAGCCCTGTAAAATCTAAATTGGGCCAGGTGTGGTGGCGCAAGCCTGTATTCCCAGCACTTTGGAGGCTGAGGAAGGAGGATCACCACAAGTTCGAGGCTAGCTTGGGCTCCATGGCGAGACCCTGTCTCAAATAAATAAATAAATAAATAAAAATTAAAATTTAAAAAACAACAAAAACCTAAGTTGGACCTTGTCGCATCACAAATAGCTTTCATCTCACAGTGACCCCAGGTCCTTACCTGGTCTACAGGTCATACCTGCTGCTACTGACCCCACCTCCACTGCTCTTTCCTTCTCTGCCCTGGTCTCCTTGCTGGCCCAGGTTCACAGCACATGCCTGCCACAGGGCCTTTGCACACACTGCTCCCTCCTGCACGTTTCCAGATCCTCTTCCTCACATGCTCCCCCCAATGCCGCATCATCCTCTTTCTTCTCACTGTTTGCTATTTCTCTCTTTCTTTCTTTCTTTCTTTCTTTCTTTCTTTCTTTCTTTCTTTCTTTCTTTCTTTTTTCTTTCTTTCTTTCTTTCACCCTTCCTTTCTCCCTCTCTCCTTCCCCCCGCCTTTCTTTTTTGTCAGAGACAGAGTCTCGCTATGTAGTCCAGGTTGACCTTGAATATACTATGTAGCCCAGACTTCCCCTGAACTTATGGTAAAGCTCCTGCCTCAGCCTCCCAAGTGCTGGGATCACAGACGTGCAGCACCACACCCAGTTAGTTCTCTTTGTAGCACTTGTCGCTATTGGACAGTGTATCACAGAAGTTCTCCCTTCACTCTGTCATCTCAGAGGTTGGCAGAGGGCCTGGGGATTTAGCTCAGCGACACAGCGCGTGCCTGGCAAGCGCAAGGTTGTGAGTTTGATTCCTGGTACCGGAGGAAAAACAAAAGCAGAAACAAAAAAAATTAGAGGTTGGCAGAATGACCTGCTCACCGTAGTCGGTGTTCAGTAAATATTTGTCAAAATAAATGCCTTACTTTAGTTCAGTAACTCTCTTTATACCAATTTCCCCTTCTGATAAAAAGGGGGATCAAAGGAATGATTTGTTTCAAAAATATCTATTCGCTTAGAAATTCAGCTTATTGTTTCAGGCATGGTGGTGTGCTCTTGTAGTCCCAACTACTTGGGAGGCTGAGGCAGGAGGATGGCTGCAAGTTTGAAGCCAGCCTGGACTACACAGTGAGACCTGATCTCAAAAACAACAACAACAAAAATTATTTTGCAGCAGAACTGAACAATATATAATGTTAGGGTTTTTTAAAATGCTGAAAACTTGGATCCACCTGGAATGACATTGCTTCTGCCACAGCTGAACCCAGTCTTCCGGCAGTTAACTTTTCTCCACTGATTTGAAGGGGCACCTTTCACCCACCCATCTCTTATCCACACTGGAATCTGTGCCCCTCTGTCCTTCATGCTGTCCCAGGACTTGTGTGTCTGTACCGGTGCCCCAGGACCACGCTGTCCCGCCCTCCATGACACTGTCGGAGAAGGAGGACCCGCAGTCAGGGGGCGTGCATGTGCCTGGAGTTCCTCGCTGCCCTGCCCTCCGCCTCTGCCCGGGCCCAGAGACTGAGCCCTGAGTCCTGGCTTTGCCACTAAGGCTAGAGGACCTGGAGCCCCCTCCCCACCCCGGGACCCCCGTTCCCAGCCTGCACGCCGGGGGCTGTGGGGTGGACGCCTGGGGCAAGGGCGTGCGGGGAGGGCCAGGGGTCCCTCCGGCAGGAAGTGGCACAGATGCGCGCAGGCGATTAGCTGGCGGGAGCGGAAGGGCGATTGGGCAAGAGAGAGAGGAGGCTGGTAACCGTCCCGGGCGCGTGGCTCGGGCTGCTGTCGCCTTGCCAGGGTCAGGAGCGGGGCTGTGCCTGGGGGCCTCTGCCAGGTGGGATCCACCCGGGGATGCCAAGCTTGGACTGGTGGGGGTGAGGGAGGGCGCAGGGCAGAGGCCGAGGCAGGGGTGTCTGTCCCCAACGGCAGTGTGTGCGGGCGAGTCCGCTGGCATCTTAGAGCCTCAGTTTCCCGGTGAGGGAGGGCAGGGGAGGCGAGTGGATGCGGCACAGCACTCGCAGTGACCCGGGCCCCCGACCTGGACACGTGACGGTCATTATTTGACCCTCTGGTCCTGCTGCTCTGGGATGGTGGAGGAGGTGGGAGACCCGAGGCACCTGCAGAGGCCACGCCGTGACTGCCCCGTCCTGCCTCTGCCTCCCGAGTCTCTGTCTCTGTGCTGGCTGGGACTTTGTGTGACCTCTTAGGAGGGGGACACGGGGTGAGGGTGTGGGGCTGAGGGACACGAGGTCACTGGGGATTTGCGGCGGGGAAGAGGACAGCCCCGCTGGCCGGCTCTCGGGGCGCTCTGAGCCGCAGTACAGAAGACCTTGGTGCGGCCGAGGGCCACGGGGGTCGTGTGGCCGAGAGCCCAGACCCGGGACGGGGCAAGGTGACAAGAGGGGTGCGCACGTGCGTGTGCAAATGAGTGCACAGGCATGTGCAAGGGACCGCGGGACTCCTGTCCCCACGTCTCTGGGTGGCCGGGGCTGGCCGCGAGGGGGGCACCCACTGCCCTTAGGGTGCTGCGTGGCCGCCGGGGCTCTGTGACCGACCCAGACGCATGCGCTGTGGGGATGGCCGGTCCTGGCCCCCAGCGACGCCCCCGAGGCCGCGCTGGCTGTGGGGTGCTGTGACTCCCTGTCCCCAGGCCCGGACTGTGAGGCGCCGCACAGCGGGACCCCGCCTGCCCGAGTCTGGCCTGCGCCACGTCCTGGTCCCTCCCGGGCGGCTCCCCCGGGCGTCTGCGGGGCTCCCTCTCCAGCCCACAGGCATCGAGGCGGGGCAGGCCACCGCCCCCCGGGCCTCCCTCAGTTTCCCCGTCTGTCCGGCGGAAGCCCTGGTGTGGCTGGAAGGAAATTTCCCCCCTTCGGTGGCATCGCCATTGCCTCTACTTACCCAGCTGTCGCTGTGGGTCCAGCAGCAGCGAAAGTGCTTGACCCTGATTCTAGAGTCAGCAAATATTCGCTACGCACCAGCCGTGTTTCCGGAAGGACCCGGCGCAGGGAGTGCTCGGGACGGCCCGGGCCGCGCAGCTAAGCAGCGGCGGCGGCTCGAGAGGCAGAGCCCGCTGCCTCCGGGCCGGGCGCGGTGACCGGCGTGGCCCTCTCCAGGCCCGCGGTGGGGACCCACGGCTCTCTGGGCCGCGTGGGCTGGGCGGTGGGAATGCCGGGGAGGTGCCGGGTGGGGAGCCCTTTCCCTGTTCACCCCAATCCCGTCCTGCACCCAGCCCACCTCCTGTAGTGAGGACGCTGCAAGCCTGCAAAGAGCTGAGCAGAGGGCATGGTGAAGGCCACCGCGCTGGTCCCCCACTGCGACCCCTGGGCGCACTCACCACCCCCGCCCACCTTTTCCTTTGTTTCTGTTTCTTTGGAATCATTTGAGGGGAAATTGCAGACACTGTGACTTCATCCCTAGTTTGTTTTTTGGGTTTTTTTTCGGTGGTGCTACTGGGGATCGAACCCAGGGTCTCTGCTCTGAGCTCCAGGCCCAGCCCCTTTTTATTTTTATTTTCTTGTGACAGAGTCTCCCTAGGTTGTGCAGGCTGAGCTCAACCCTCCTGCCTCAGTCTCTCAGAGTGCTGCATATCCGGCTTCAGAGCCTTTTAAAGGTGAAGAAATTCTCCAACATGACTTTATCACACCTAAGAAATTTCCCACTGCTCCAAGGCATCTAAACACAACCCAGCTCACATTCCCCTGGATGTCCCGCAGAGGGCCCTCTGTTTACTCTTCCTCTCTTTTTCTGAAAGGGTCCTGAAGTCCGCAGACCAGAGCAGGTGTCCTGACGCAGGCCCTGGGGGCCAGAGAGGGTCTGGCGGTGTCCCACAGCCCCGTGTCCTCTCACCTCTCCTCTCTACCCCGGTCCAGGCCCCATGGAAAGTGGACAGAGAATGTACCGGAAAGGCCGGAAGCTGGGCTCCAGCCGCCGGCGGCAGATGAGAGAGCCGGCCGATGGCCAGGATGCCCCGGGGGACCCAGGACCCGAGTCCTGGACCTCGGAAGCCGAGGCGGAGCTGCAGACCTTCTTCCAGAACTGTGGTGCCAAGGACAGAGGCTTCGTGACCCGCGAGGACCTGGCGGTGAGTTTGAGGCCCCAGCTTCCTCTCTCTGCAGCTCCTGAGACCATGCCCCCCTTTCTCATCTAAAATTTGTTTTTAGAACCTGCTGGAATTTGTTTATACCAACATGGAAAGGGCTGATAGAGCTTCACCCATACCCCTTCCAAGGACACTTGCACCTATGAAAGGAGAGGGCCTTTGTCCTAATTTTTGGCCTTTGAGCAGGGAAGTCCATCTTGGGGAGCAGAACTCAAACCTGGCCCACGACTATACACTTTGTGAAGCATAAATCTGCCGTAGCCAGGCATGGTGCTGCACGTCTATAATCCCTGCGCTCCGGTAGGCTGAGGCAGGAGGACTGCAAGTTCGAGCTCAGCCTGGGCAGTTTAGAGACTTAGTGAGACTCTGTCTTGAAATACTAAGGCTGGGGGTGATGTAGCTCAGTGCAAAGGCTCTGGGTTTAATCTTCAGCACTGAAAAATAAAAATCAACAGCTACGATAGTGTCTTCCGATAAAGAGTTCCATTCCGTAAGGCCTTGGCCTAGACTAAAATTGACCATTTTTTCTTTGTTTTTATTTGCTGCAAAGAGGCCTGTGTGGGCGAGCAGCTGTCTCCTCCTGATGTGGCTCTAGGCTCCACGTTTTGTCCTTTCCCCATCAAAACTGACCCTGGAGTCCCTTAAGACCACAGGGAAGTATGACGAGCTGATGGAAAAGCATCTAAACATCTTTTGGGGGGTTTTTGTAGCCCAGGCTGGCCTCAAACTCACAGTGATCCTCCTGCCTCAGCCTCCTAAATGCTGGGATGACAGGCATGTGCCACCACACCCGTCTTAGGTTGGACTTTTTAAAACCTCTATAATTTGCTCTTCTATTGAATGGTCAACTATCACAGTTTTCCAAGGTCCAAAGGGGACCTGGAATGTGAGACTTTGAGTGTTAAAATGAGAACACTTCTGGGCAAACGCATAAGTCACCAGTTACCCTACCTCTGTCACAAGGTTAGAGGACAAAGCCCAATGCACTCCCTCCAGCAAATGTCACCTATAAATTTGAGTCACTTCCTTTCTCCTTGGGGCCCTAATCTTTCTGCCAGGAAGTGGCTTGCTTATCACACAGCTCCAGACCAGCTTCCTGAGAGGGCTCTGCAGTGCCGGCTTTCAGGGTGTCCCTAAGAGTGGACTCATCACACCTGATTAAATGGAGATCAGTCCACAAAGTGACGCTCAGGAGCCCGGTGGGCATAGTGGTGCACGCCTGTAATCCCAGCACTTGGGAGGCTGAGGCAGGAGGATCGATGTGCATTCGAGGCCAGCCTGGGCTACAAAGTGAGACCCTGAATCAAACCCTCCCGCCCAAATATTTCACTTTAATTTACCAAAGTCTACTCTACTAAACTGAGGGCTAGAAACACCCCAAGACTTTCTCATAGGTTTACTGAAGTAGAACCATAAAAAATAGTACACAGTGTCTGTGTCCCTATTACCGTATGTAACCACACCAGATTCCTGCAGCTGTTCATTTAGCTCAGGGAATGAATCTTCTCTCTCCTGTCTGCCTTTGGGCCCCAGAGCCCCGGGAGTCCTCAGCCGCTAGCCCAACTGAAGGTCGCTAATATTGATCTGAACCTCCTACCCAGGGGAAGAATCAGGAGTTCCTAGAACCCAGGACGGTCCTTTTCCTCAGGCCTTTGACTTTGTCTTTCTTTGTTGAAGACACAAGCTGTGACGTGCAGATTCCAGCAGGGCCCTTGGGCGATCAGAGGACAGCAGAACCTGCCCGGTTAGAAAGCGAAAACCTGTGGTTATTTGTACTTTTTTGGGGGGGGGTACCGGGGAAGGAACTAGGCAGCGGCTCAGGCTCTGAGCTACGCCTCACCCCTGGCTAGGGTTATTTGTCAGTACTGGAACGGAGGAGAGGAGACGTCCCTACTAGCGTGGATTATGTAACTGCTTCACAAGGGTCTGGACCGAAGACGAGAAATAGACACAGCAGAAGCTTCCAGAAATCTCCAGTGTAGAGCAGGCAATTCTGGAAAGACTTTTTTTTTGGTTTTTCTCCAGTACAGGGAATCAAACTCATTACCTTGTGCTTGCCAGGCAGGTGCTGTGCCGCTGAGCTAAATCCCCAGCCCCAGTTCTGGAAAGATTGATCCTCATAGAATTTTTAAACTTAGCCTGGGACAGACAACACCTCTCTTCTGATCTGACAGCTGTCCCCATGGTGCTCTCAGGGCAGCACTGAGGTACTTAATAAACAAGGAGAAGCAGGGGTGGGGGAGCACGCCTGTCAGCCCGGCGCTTGGGAGGCTGAGACAGGAGGATTGTGCATTCAAGGCCAGCCTGGGCTACATAGCAAGACCCTGTCTCAAAAAATCCAAAAAGAATAACTAAATAAGTAAATAAATAAATAGCAACCTAGCATGAAAATTACATTATTATTATTATTATTATTTTTACACTTAGGATCTGATTTGAGAAGAATCGGCAGAGAACATTTGGGCTCTAGGTTAAGACACAAACCTGGCAGCCTGAGAAATAGTAGTGGGTGCTCACCTCCTTAACCAAATGACAAGGACATAAAAGATTTTGAAATAAACAAAGGGGAAGGTACTATGATTGCAAGAGAATTCAGCTCTTTTGTAAAGGGGTACTTTTTTTTTTTTTAATTAGAATATGTTGTGGACAAAACAAAGCAGAGGAATTTATTGCGACCATAAAGGGAGCTTCTGTTACCCAGCAGCTTCTGCAGAGCTCAACAGCCAACCTGTGAGCCCTGGCTGAGATTCTAAGACCCAGTTTATCTATTATCTATCATCTATCTATCTATCCATCTAATCTATCATCTATCTATCTATCTCATCTCTCTATCATCCATCTATCATCTCTCTATCTATCATCTATCTATTTTGGTTTCTTAGACAAGGTCTCACTATGTAGCTGTCTTGGTTACTTTTCTCTTGTTGCTGAGACAAAATATCCAACGCCCAAAATGAAGGAAGAAAAGGTTTGTTTAGCTTACAGTTTGTGGAGGTTTCAGTCCATACTTGGCTGGCTCCCAGGCAGAAGATAGCAAAGCAACAAGAGCAAAGGGGGAAACGGCAGCCGAACGGCAAAGCAGCCAGAGCAAAAGGGGAGGAACGGCGGCAAGCAGCCTCTTTCCCCCGCTTACTTTGTAAACAGGCTACCCCCACCTAAGGGGCGTGCAGCTCTCACATAATCTCCATGCCCTCCTCTTCCACAGGCTCAGGATGTATACAAAGTAAGCACCCTGGCTCCTTGCTGAGTCAGGTAACCAAACCTCTAGACTCCCCAAGTTGACACAGTGTATCAACCATAACAGTAGCCCAGACTGACCTAGTATTCATGGAGCTCCTCCTGTCTCAGCCTCCTGAGGGCTGGGATGACAGGTGTGCACCACCACACCTGGCAGTCCTTTCTCATGTTATGGAGCAATCAGACACTTTCAAACAAGACCGCTGTCCTGACCCCTTACAAGCAAAAGCTCTTTTCCTTGCAGACACAGTTGCATTTCTGTCATTATTGCTCTTAATAGAATCTCAGGCGTCAAAGTTAAAAGTCATTATTACTTTTAACTAACATCATTAACCTTTAGCACAGAAAAAACAGCAGTTAAATAATTGAGAATTATTTTTTCTCTGTGTGTGTGGTATTGGGTATTGAACCCAGGGAGGCTCGAGCATACCTCTCCCCTTTTTACTGTTTTTTTTTTTTTTCTTGAGACAGGGACTCCTGAAGTTGCCCTGGCTGGTATCCAACTCCCAATCCTCCTGCCTCGGCCTCCTCAGCAGCTGGCATTACTGGCATGCACCACCACTCCTGACAAGGATTATTTTATACAAGCACTGTGGCTGACTACCAGAGTCACAAAGACACACAGCACAACTTTCTACAGCCACACAGATACATTGCACAGTTTTTTAGACTGTGCTAAAACACACAGAACAAAATTTGCCGTGCTAGCGCTTGGTGATGTATCACTCAGACGCATCAAGCAGATTCAAAGTCTGGGAAAGAGCTCGTACTTCCCTGGCTCCGGGGAACCTCATTCTACTTTCCATCTCCCCGAATTTGACCACTGGAGGTGTTTCATACAAACCTCATCAAACCAGCATCTTTCACTTAGCATTTTGCCCTTCATGCTCCTGCGTGGGGAAGCCTGACTCAGAGCCGCCTCCCTTCTAAGGGACGGCAGTGTCCCCTGGTGTGTAGATACTGGTCATTTACCAAGCCATCCCCTGTGGGACCTTTGAGTGACTTCCAGTTTTTTTGGCAAACAATATTTTCTAAGTGGAAAAAATGAATTTATCGGGCTGGGGATATAGCTGAGTGGCACAAGCACCTGCATGGCTAGTGCAAGGTCCTGAGTTCGATTCCTGGTACCAAAAAAAAAAAGAATTTATTCATCCACACGATCCAAAGGTATACCTAGTACCATGCAAAAGTAAAAAGTAAGCCACATAAGGTGGTGCATCCCTATAATCTCAGCTACTGGGGAGGCTGAGGCAGAAAGATTAATGCCAAGTTCAAGGTCAACCTCGGCTACATAGTGAGTTTGAGACCAGCCTGAACTACATAGTGAGACCCTGTCTCAAAAAAAAAAAATTATCCAAGTAGCCCCCAATTATTTATTTATTATTTATTAATTAACGTAATAACTCACAAGTAATCCAGGCTTTTGAAGTAGCCAGAAGATCTTGGAAATTGTGTTTAAGGGATTCACTATAAAACATAGCGACTGTTCGCATAAAATGTATTTGTTAGAGTAATGAACCAATTTAGTGGAATACAAACTTACATTTTTCTAATCCGAAACTTATTTGATCAGAAAACCTTAATGAGAAGTGAAAAAACTTCAGACGAACTAGTTTCCTCACAACACATAAACCCAGATTTTATAAAAATAAAAAGAGTACTCTTATTATAATTAACACAGAGCAGAGAAAACACAGTTAGCTACTATTTGTGCTCTGTGAACCAAAATTATTATTATTATTTTTTTATTTTAAAGAATAAAAGAAGGATAACATAATAATAGGGGGGACTTAGCAAATTACAGACAAAATGGTAGGAAATTATCAATGGTTATCATTTTACATATTATTGTCTACAAAATAGTTTCTCAGGAAA